ACAATTGAGGAGACAAGGGAGACCAGAAAACTCACTTGCATGACAGCCACTTTTACCGAAGAGCTGTTGAGAGCTCTGCAGCTCCAGGCTCCTGGACTTCTCCTGGACGGTCCTCCCAACGGCGATGTGGATTCCTCAATGGCAGAAGTGATGTCCTCCTTGTCCGTGCTCCTCTCTTCTCACTGATAATCCCACTGCTCATTGTTGCTGCTACTCAGCCATACTGACAAGTTAATGAGCCAGTGACTTCTAAACCAGTTATCATCCCCAGTTCAATAAAGTCAGCTTTGAGTTACCACGTTTCATTGATATTAAGATGCATTTCAACATATCTGAGGTCAGAACACATCTCAGAATCAATATTGTATGACAGTTCAATGAGCAGTACTTTTATTTCTTAGTGGTACAAAATAACAGTGGATTCTAGAATCAATAGCCTCTTAGGTTTGGTGAAATAAGGTAATTGATCGCTGTTCACTAAGGTGACCTGTTGTCATTTCCTGGTGCCTACCTTGGTGTTCCCATGGAAATGCACTTTTGTATTTTGCCAAATAGAATATTTGTTTCCTACCACCTTCATATTGAACATCCATTAACCAAGAGTTAAAACTGAGAGAGGAAATTCTAAGCAAAGACTGGATGGATGTCCCATGGACCCTGGACCCTGATGCTTGAGCCTGCTGGGCTGCCTGTGGCCACCTGGAAGTCAGCAGTCCAGGATTCTGCCCTTGCATTACTGAGGATCTTGAGCAAATGTGCTTATCACTGCCCATCTCACTCTTCTCATTTGTAAAAAGATTCGCAACGTAACCCCTTCCTATCTCATAGAATTGTTAGGGTCAAGCGACGTGGTGTACAGGAAAGTGCTTTATAACCAACGTAAGGTGCTGTTCCGACCTGATATGCAGAAGGGAACTTGTGACCCAGAGACTGACAGAACACAGCCCCAGGTGACTCAGTGTTGATTCATACCTGGCACTTATTTGTCTGTTTCCAGGAGAGAGGCTTTGAAATTATAGAAGCTTGTCTGGCAAGATGAAATAGTATCCCAAAAGATCAAAAAGAAGTTACATCCTGTAAATAGAATGCAAGCTTTTTTTCTTTTTTCATTTTATACTTTCCTGTTTCACTGTCTTGACACTGGAAAATGTGGCATAAAATATTGTTAACATTAACACAAATATATTTATCATGAAAGATAAATAGATGTACAGTGCTTTAAAAAAGTCGAGTTCTGCAGTGCAAAAGGTGCTGGCTTAATCTCGGCTCCAGAACCTCACTGGCAGTGCAACCACCACACAGAAGTGACCTTGAGCCAATTACCCAAACTTTCTCGACCCCAGTTTCCTCATCTGCTAAAATCTTAAAAGGCTGTTGTAAGGATGAGATTAAATGAATAGAAAGCACTTACATTATAAATGCATGCAGGGCCTTGCACCTAGAAGGCACCAGAAGATGTTGGCTCTTATGCTTCTGAAACAACCACAAAGCATGCTATTGTGCAATTGCCAGTGACTGTTTCTGCTGACAGAATCAAAAGCTTGGTACGTCGGGGAAGAAGGAATAGAGTGGTGTTATTTTCACACTTAACCATGGCATTAATAAGCCTCACAAACGTGTCAGTTCAACAATAGCCTGACCTAACTAAGATTGCATTTTTGACACATACAGCGTGTTATATAGTAACTAAATCAAGAATCCTGGCCAAAACCTTACTAGACAGCTTTAAAATATTTCCTTTCAAATGAGATTCTTGAAGTTCACTGTTACCCACTCCACGTGCTGAAGTTGTAAGCAGCACCCCACTTTTATGCTTAAAAGCCTAGGAGACCTGGCCAGACATGATGGCTAATGCCTATAATCCTAGCACTTTGGGAGGTTGAGGCGGGTGGATCACCTGAGGTCAGGAGATCAAGACCAGCCTGGCCAACATGGTGAAATCCTGTCTCTATTAAAAATATAAAAATTAGCCGGGTGTGGTGGCAGGTGCCTGTAACCCCAGCTACTCGGGAGGCTGAGGCAGGAGAATCACTTGAACCCAGGAGGTGGAGGTTGCAGTAAGTAAGCTGAGATCACGCCATTGCACTCCAGCCTGGGCAACAAAGCAAGAAATCCCATCTCAAAAAAAAAAAAAAAAACCTAGAAGATCTTCCCTCAAAAAATGTGCTGTAGGGAAATGGTGTCCTACTGATCTCTCACGTTCAGTATGGAATATAGGTTTCTGAGAAGATATCACAAGCCTACTTTCACAGTTGAGAGAGTCTTATAGTGTGAAATTCATTAGCTCCATGCAGTGTGCAAAATTCATTAGCTTCACACACTCTGCCCTCTCTGTATTCTTTCTCCACTCCCTACCCTGTGTTGCCACAGCCGAATGGTGGAGATCCTATTGACTTTTTATTCTTAATCAACTTTATTGAAGTATAACTTACATACAATAAAATTCGTACATTGTACATGTACAGATCAATAAATTTGGACAAATACTCATGCAACATCAGCCCAATCAAGATATTTCTGCTTCCCCACAAATCTCCTTGTCTCCCTTCCCCACAGCCACACCCCACCACCACCCCAACTCAGGCACCCACTGACCTGATTTGTGTCATTTGAGATTATTTTGCCTGTTCTAGAATTTCACATGAATAGAGTTATACCAGAATTATGGGGTTTTTTTCCCCCCAGCTTTTTGGTGTTTGGCCTCTTGCGCAGATAGGATCTGTGGGATTTATCTAGGTTGTTGCAGGTATCAGTAGTTCATTTTTTTTGTTTGTTTGTTTGTTTGAGACAGGGTCTTGCTCTGTCACCCAGGCCATAGTGCATTGGTGCAATCATAGCTCACTGCAGCCTCAAACTCCTGACCTCAAGTGATCCTCCCCCTTCAGCCTTCTGAGCGGCTAAGACTATAGGTATACGCCACCATGCCTGGCTAATTTTTTTTAATGTTGTAGAGGGAGGGTCTCACTATGTTGCCCAGGCTGATCTCAAACCCCTGGCCTCAAGCAGTCCTCCTGCCTCAGCTTCCAAAAGTGTGAGCCACCACACCCAGTCCAGAGAATTATTGAGTACCTTTCACTTAGTTTTCTCTTACGCTAACATTTTACATAACCATAGTACAATGACCAAGAAAAAGAAATTAACTTGTTACAGTATTGTTAATTAATTTATAGACCTTCTTCCAATTTCATCAGTTTTTCCCTAATGTCTTTTTCTGGCCCCAGATTCAATCCAGTATCTCACATTAAATTTAGTCATCATGTCTTCTTAATCTCCTCCGGTGAGTGACAGTACCTTAGTGTTACTTTTGTCTTTTATTACTTCAACCTTTTTCTTTGAGACAGACTCTCCCTCTGTCACCCAAGCTGGAGTGTAGTGTTGCAATCTTGGCTCACCACAACCTCCGCCTCCTGGGTTCAAGCGATTCTCCTGCCTCAGCCTCCCAAGTAGCTGGGACTATAGGTGTGAGCCACCACAAGCTAATTTTTTTTTATTTTTAGTAGAGACAGGGTTTTGCCATATTGACCAGGCTGGCCTTGAACTCCTGACCTCATTTTTGAAGATACATTTATAAGATGTTGTTCTCTCTATTTGGGCTTGTCTGATGTTTTCTCCTGATTAGAATGTACTTACACAGTTCTGGCAAGCATATTTCAAAAGTGGATATTGTATCCTTCTCAGTGCATCATATCAAGGAGTGCATGATGTGATATTTCTGGTGACATTAACTTTTGATCATTTAATGTGATTTTTGATTTGGGTTTGTTTGTCTACCATGTTGTTATCTGATTTCCATTCTTCTCCCTCCGCACCACACCTTTTTTATGGTGGTGGTTCTAGGGCTAACTACATGCGTCCTTAACTTTCGGTGTTTATTTAGCATCAACATTGTACCTCTTCCCAGGCCACACTTCACTGATGTAACAAACTTACCACAGTATATTCCATTTACCACCCCCCACTTAGCAGATTGTCTGTCTTAAAATATATGTCTGACAATCTGCCAAATGTCAACTTTTGCTTTAGTCTGTGGTCTCTTAGTAAGTTTTGAAAGGACTGTAAAGTATTTTATATTTACCTGCTTATTTACCATTTCAGGTGCTTTTCTTTTCTGTAGATCCAGGTTTCCAGCCTGATGGGTATCCCATATGTAGCATTTCTCATAGTGCAGATCTGCTGATAACGAATTATCTCAACTTTTATTTATCTGAGAACATCTTTATTTCATCCTTGTTTTTGAAAGGTATTTTCGCTGGATATAAACATCGTTTTCTTTTTTTTAAGCACTTTAAAAGCATTATTTAAACACTCTCATTTTTGGTCTGGGCACAGTGGCTCTTGCCTATAATCCCAGCACATTGGGTGACTCACGTGAGCCGAGGAGTTTGAAATCAGCCTGGGCAACACAGTGAAATCTCATCTCTATTAAAAAAAATTAGCCAGGCCTAGTGGTGCACAGCTGTGGTCCCAATTACTCAGGAAGCTGAGGTAGGAGGATCACTTGAGCCCAGGGAAGTTGAGGCTTCAGTGAGCCAAGATGGTACCACTGCTCTCCAGCCTGGATGAGAGAGTGAGACCTTGTCTCAAAAACAAAAACAAAACCGCAAAACTACCCCCTCTCTTTTTTTTTCTTTTTTTGAGACAGAGTCTCACACTGTTGCCTGTGCTGGAGCGCAGGGGTGCAATCTCGGCTCACTGCAACCTTCACTTCCCAGGTTCAAGTGATTCTTCTGCCTCAGCCTTCCAAGTAGCTGGGATTACAGGCACCTGTCACCACGCCCAGATAATTTTTTGTATTTTTAGTAGAGACGGGGTTTCACCATGTTGGCCAGGCTGGTCTTAAACTCCTGACCTCACGATTCGCCTGCCTCAGCCTCCCAGAGTGCAGGGATTACAGGCATGAGCCACTGTGCCCAGCCAACCTCTAGTTTTTTAATAAGTTGACTGTCTCTTTTTTTTTTTTTTTCTCACCTTCAACTGTCTTGATCGAGTTATAGACTGTCTTCTTTTTTTTTTTTTTTTTTCCTTTTTGTGGAGAACGGGGTCTCGCTATATTGCCCAGGCAGGTTTCGAACTCCTGGGCTCAAGCTATCCTCCCGCCTCTGCCTCCCTAATAGCTGGGATTACAGGCGTGAGCCACAGCGCCCGGCTAGACTGTCTTCTTTTAAATCATCATTCTCTGTTCATAATATGTCATCCCTCTCCACTTCTGCTTTCAAGATTTTATGTTTATTTATTAGCAGTTTGACTGTAATGTGTCTGGGCAATATAGCGGTTCTTTTTGTGTGTATATTTCTTGGAGTTTGGTGAGCTTCTTAGATCTGTAAGTTAGTGGTTTTCATTAAATTTGGTAAAATTTTTGCCATTATTCATTCAAAAAATTTTTCTAACTCATTCCCTTTCTCTCATCCTGATGCTTTCAATTCTACTTATATAGACTGATTGATACTATCACTCAGGTTCCCGAAATTTGGTTGATTTTTCTTTAATCCATTTTTCCTTCTGTTATTCAGATTCAATAATTTCTGTTGATATCTCAAGGTTCACTGACATTTTCTTTTATCATCTCCAACTTCCTATTAAAATTATCCAGTGAATTTTTCATTTTAGTTGTCCCAGTCTTTAGTTCTTGAATTTTTATTTGGCTCTTTTATAGTTTCCACTTCTCTGTTGAAATTTCCTGTTTATTTTTATGATAAGACCATATTTTTATAAAGTTATTTGCATATATTTTCCTTTCCCTATTTAAATATATTTCTGATAGCTGCCTTAAAGTCTTTGTCAGCTAAGTAACATCTAGGCCATGTCAAGTATCTTTTGACTATTTTTTCTCAACATTTTTCTGTTTATTTATTTATTTATTGGTCTAAGGATTTTTTTTTTTTTGAGACAGGGTCTTGTTCTGTCACCCAGGCTGGAGTGCACTGGTGCAATCATAGCTCACTGAAGCCTCAATCTCCCAGGCTCAAGTGATCCTCCCACCTCTATCTCCCAAGTAGCTGGGTCTCCAGGCAGGCACCACCATGTCTGGCTAACTTTTTTTTTTTAAATAGAGATAAGGTTGCCCAGGCTAGTCTCAAACCCTTGAGCTCAAGACATCCTCCCACCTTGGCCTCCAAAGTGCTGGGATTTGCAGGTGTGAGCCTGCACACCCTGCTGGTCTAGTGATTTTTGATTAAATATTATACAATGTGATGTATGTTTTAAACTCTAGGTTTTATCATTCCTCTTTGAAGTGTGTTGATTGTTGTTTTTGCAGGCAGTGCAGCGACTGGCTGATTACTTCATGCCAGTGTAGGCTTGGTTGGACATTTTGTTCATGTGGCTCTGTAAAAAGCACAAACTTTAACTTGACAGGACTCAACTTCTAATTCCACCTTTCCTATAGGTCTTGTTAGGGCTTAGTTTTAGACTTTATCTGATTGGGTCTAGATGATGTCTTACTCTAGACCATGCTCCTTATCTTACAGCATGTCTCAGCTGGATTCCAGGAGTATTAACTGCTACTTACTTTAAAAAATATATAACAGTTTTATTGAGATATATTTCACATACCATAGAATTTACTCATGTCAAATGTACAAGTGGATGGTTTTTGGTATATTACAAAGTTGTACAGCCACCAACATAATCAATTTTGTAACGTTTTCATCCTCCCCAACAGAAACTCATACCCATTAACAGTCACTCCCCATTTCTTTCCAACTCCCTCACCATAGTCTACTTTTCATCTCTGTTGATTTGCTGGTTCTGGACGTTTCATAAAAGTTGAACCGTATAATATGTGGTCTTTGTGACTTCCTTCTTTTACTTAGTATAATGTTTACAAGGCTCATCCATGTCGTATCATAGCATGTATTAGTACTTTATTTCTTTTTGTGGCCAAATAATCTTTCATTGAATAGGGATTTTACCTTTTATTTATTTATTTTTGAGACAGAGTCTCCCTTTGCTGCCCAGGCTGCAGTTCAGTGGTTCAATCCCAGCTCACTGCAACCTCTGCCTCCTGGGGTCAAGCGATTCTCCTGCCTCAGTCTCTTGAGTAGCTGGGATTACCGGGCACCCCCCCCCAGCCACACCGGGCTAGTTCTTGTATTTTTAGTAGAGAAAGGGTTTCACCATGTTGTCCAGGCTGGTCTCAAACTGTGACCTCAAGTGAGCCACCTGCCTCAGCCTCCCAAAGTGCTGGGATTACAGGTATGAGCTGCTGCCTTTATTTAACTTTTTATCAGCTGACAGACACTAAGGTTGTCTCTACCTTTGGGCTATCATGAATAATGCTGTGTCAACATCTGTGCATATGTGTTTATGTGGAAGTGGAAATGTTTCATTGCTTTTGGGCAAATATTTGGGAATGGAATTGTTGGTCATAAGCTAACTCTATGTTTAATGTTTTGAGGAAATAGTCAACTGTTTTTCAAAGTGGCTGTACGATTTTACAATTCCATAAGCAGTGTGCAAGGGTTCCAATTTCTTCACATCCTTGTCAACACTTGTTACTATCTTTTTTATTGTAGCCTCCCTAAAGGGTATTGCTGTAGACTGAATTGTGTTCCCTCTAAATTGGTATGCTGAAACCCTAACCCCCTTGTGATAGTGTCTGGGATGGAGCCTTTGAAGGGTAATTGGAATTACTAATCCTACCTCCTGACAGGATTGGTGCCCTGTGAGGACACCAAGAGAAGCCAGGAAGAGGGTCCTTACCAGAAGCCGATCATTCTGGCCCCATGATATCAGACTGCCAATCTCTAGAACTGTGAGAAAACATTTTGTTATGGCAGCCTAAGTAGAGAGGAAATGTATTTCATTATGGCCTTCATTTGCATTTCCCCAATGGCTAATGTCGAACAGCTCTTCATGTGTTTATTGGCCATTTGAATATCTTCTTTGGAGAAATGCCTCTTCAGATCCTTTGCCCACTTAAAAAATTAGGTTTTATTCTTGAGTTGTAAGAGTTCTTACATGATTCACAAATAGTTGTTCCCATTTTGTGGGTCACTTACTTTTGGGTACCTTGCTTGCTCCACTGAAGACGAAAGTTTGCAACATCTTAGGTAGCTAATACAGATCTCCGAGGCAGCCTGCATTAGGTATTGATGAAGGAAGTAACCTGAATGTCTTTAGACAATCTCATCAAGCTGTGATAAATTGACAAAATGTGAATCTTTATATATTTGGCATGTTGAATATTGTTTTCTTATATAATGAGTAGAAAAAATTATAAATCATTACTAACTGATATCACTGGAGTTTCAGGAGCTCAGAAACCTAATGACTTTCCTTTGGGACAGATGACTTGTGCCTCAAAGCCCAGTCTGGCAATTGGCTTATTGAATCTGAGCACTGACTAAGTGAGACACCTGCTGGTTAGACCTCAGGGATTTTAGGGATATTCAAGTTCCATGAGAATTTGAATTGATGCCCACAATATCTTTTCACAATTTTAGAAGTTTAGGGGCAAGTGAAAGTCCTGCAAAATAAAAGCAAACTTTTTGGAATGGAAGTATTTATCATTATATGTTGTGACAACTCTGCTGTCCCTTCTCCCAAAATACTACACGGTGTGTGTCTTTTAAGGAAATGTGATTTGTGAGACCTTCATCTCCATAAAAACGTTAAAAAAAAAAATCATCCAGGTGCAGTGGCTCACAACTGTAATTCCAGCACTTTCAGAGGCTGAGCAAGAGGATTGCGTGTAGCCGGGAGGTCGAGGCTGCAAGGAGCTATGATCGTGCCACTGCACTCCAGCCTAAGTGCCAGAGCAAGACCATCTTATAAATAAAGAAAGAAGAATGGAAGTCAATTTAGTTTTATATTTCATGATACCTCATAAGATAATTGGAGCTAATCAGAGATAATACAAACTTCTAATTGAGCATTACTATCTTGTTAAAATCCCTGCAACGCACTTCTGGGAGTCCATTTCAACGGCACACCTGCCGGTGGAGAGTGAGGTCTCCCTCTCCACGCATGGGTGGCCTTTCTTTTTCTTTTCATTTTTCTTTCTTTCTTTCTTCCTTTTTTTTTTTTTTTTTTTTTGAGGCGGTGTCTCGCTCTGTCACCCTGGCTGGAGTGCAATGGCACGAACTAATTCAGCTCACTGAAACCTCTGCCTCCCAGGTTCAAGCAATTCTCCTGCCTCAGCCTCCCAAGTAGCTGGGACTACAGGTGTGTGCCACCACGCCCAGTTAATGTTTTGTATTTTTAGTAGAGACGGGGTTTCACCGCATTAGCCAGAATGGTTTCAATCTGCTGACCTCGTGATCCTCCTGCCCAGCCTTCCAAAGTGCTAGGATTATAGGCGTGAGCCACCGTGCCCAGCCCTGGCTGCCATTTCAATCAGCCAGCAACCGTGGAGTCTGTGGGAAGCATTCTCCAAGAGCAATTAATAAGATGATAATGCTTTGCGTGTGTGTGTGACTCGAGCAAATCACTTCCTTCTGCCTTTTGCCTGCTGGTGTTGGGTGAGACTGCTTTGAGCTTGGATTAAAGATGAGGTAGACAGGTCCTGACTTGAGGAGATCTGGATTTGAGACCCAGCGGTCTGACCTGAGGCTCACACTTGGCTTTTGTGAGTAGCAGTTTCTTTGGGGGGCTAACGTGTGCTCTGCCATTTCCCTGAGGTGCTGTGAGGATCAAATGAAGTGATACACGTGAGAGTGCCGTGAACACTGCACTCATTCCCAGAAACCTGAAGCCTCGTGGAGGTGCTGCTAGGTTTATTTTCCACCGGGTCGCCCTGATTGCCCCTATCAGGACGAGCAGCCAGAGAAGCAAGAGGCCTCGGAGAAGGACAAGGGAGCTTCCCACTTTGGGACTTTCGCAAGGTCTCCAAACCGATGGGCTGCATGGACCCAGGTTGTTTCTGTCCAGTCCTGTTTACTGAGCATTCTGTGTCACATGTCACTTCCACTGGATGGCTTCTGTGGTCTCAGGAGGTCTATGAATCCTGTGTTCTTAACTTGCTGTCATTTCAGAACTGCAGGGGCTTGTCAGCATTTCGGCATGGTTGATCTATTTAATCCTTATGGAGTTTCTCCTTGGCTGTGTCCCTGGGGACACGTTTTCTGTCAGCCACCCCCTATTAAACATGCATACAGACCTCAGGTTCAGGATTTAGGAGGGTACATGAGGTGAAGTGAATTAAATGAATTCCTGTGGGGAGCTGTTTGCCCTCCAACATACTCTGCACTTTCTTCAGAGGCGATCTTTCTTCAGAGGAGAAATAAAAGCCCTTTTTAGGACAGATAACTGGGCAATGTGGCTCACACCCATGCCACAGCTAAGTGTGTAAGATTGGACTTGTACTGTGTTTGGTTGTTACAGCAGGAGTCAAATTGGGTCTCCTGAAATGCAACTGGCGCTGCTCAGCAATGCATCGTCTTGTCAGGGTCCTGCTGCAATGGTGCTGTAGTTGTGATGGAAGCTTTTGTTCCCACAAACCTGTCAATTCACCAGTCTCTCTCACAGAGACCCTGCACACCGCCACAAAGAGGAGAGTTGGTGCCTGACATTGGCTCTGAGCCTCTGCCGTCCGCCCTTTGCCCTCTGGTGCAGCTGGCTTTCGTGTCCATGTGGCTAGCTCCCTGGCAGTCATACTGATGTGGTTTCACAGTGAAGGTGCTCATGCGCGGGGCACTGAGGACTCATGTCCCTCTGTTCATGTTGGTGTTACAGAGCTGGCTGGGGCACCCCAGGTGGGGATGTGAAAAGGCCAAGCCACCCAGGAGTGGCTCGTGAGTTTAAGGCTTCCCTGGGTGTGCTTGCCGCTGGCAAGGAGGGGTCACCACTTGGGTGACTGTGAGCCACTTCTATCCAGGCAGGGTACTACAATCAACCATCCATTCTTCTTTCCACTTCCTTTGGTACCTTTTCTCATTATCCTCTTCAATGTGGCAGGTACAAAGCTAGCTAGTAAAAATGCAAAAGGTGCCATAAGAAGAGGGGTGCTTTTGCCAGAGAGTGTTTAATCCCAGAAGGATTTTCTTACTCTTCATTTTGTTCTCACCTTTCAGGAAGTTATATTCTAAGTGGAAACTTAAAAATTGCATACAGTGCTATATTACAAGGCAGAACCATTTTGCAGCTCTAAGACCCTGGGAAAGTTGCTGAACTTCTCTGAGTTTGAACTTCCTCCTCCTTAAAGGGGCTATGAAAATTCACCTCAAAGGGTTATTATGACATAATTACATAAGAATGGAATAAGAATATTTTCCTTTCAATTGATGTGTATCATCTTTTCAGATGGCTACTATGTTATTGGGACATAAGTTCTTATTAAGTTGTTTGTATTTCACTGCTTACTAAAGGGGACTACTAAGTATTTCTTTTGGCCTAGAGACTCTATGTAAAAATTACTGCAATGCTAAAGACAACACGAACCAAGTTCATTGACTCTAACATGCCATTGATTCTTGGAAATCATGGTGTTTCTTCAGGAGAATGTGCAGTGTCTTGTAACAACTAATTATAATGCAAATTAGGGCTACACTGTAATCTGCTTTGTTAATGAAAATGATAAAACAATATTGACAAGCTAGGACACCTGTGGTATCTTTTGTATCTCCTTCAGAAGTTTGCTTCTTATGGTATAATAAAGTGTGGAAGAAATTTTAAAAATACTTTTATTTTATCTTATTTTATTTTTTGAGATGGAGCCTCGCTCTGTCACCCAGGCTGGAGTGCATTGGCACAATCTCGGCTCACCACAACCTCCGTCTCCTGGGTTCAAGTGATTCTCCTGCCTCAGCCTCCTGAGTAGCTGGAATTACAAGCATGTGCCACCACACCCGGCTAATTTTGTATTTTTAGTAGAGATGGACTTTCTCCATGTTGGCCAGGTGATCAGCCCGCCTCAGCCTCCCAAAGCTCTGGGATTACAAGTGTGAGCCACGCAGAAAGAAAAACAGTGCCAATTCCCTATAAAATAATGCCTTTAAGAGAGTATTTTCAAACATGTGAGTTAGTCATGCCAGCCTCTCCAGCTTTGCACTTTCTTTCCTATGTTCTGGGGGACTTGTCCATTTTTCTTGCCTCCAGACATATTGTTTGGCCTGTGATATGGTTTGGCTCTGCGTCCCACTCATATCTCACATTGAATTTTAATTCCCAATGTTGGCGGTAGGACCTGGTGGGAGTTGATTAGCTTAATAGGGGTAATAGGGGTGTTTCTAACAGTTTAGCCCCAACCCCCTAGTACTATCTCATGATAGAGTTCTCACAAGATCTGATTGAAAGTGTGTGGCACCTCTTCACCCCCTCTCCTGCTGGCCATGTGAAGATGTGGTTGGTTCTCCTTTGCCTTCTGCCATGATTGTAAGTTTCCTGAGGACTCCCAGAAGAATAGCCTGTATAGCCTGCAGAACTGTGAGCTAATTAAACCTCTTTTTTTTTTTTTAAAGAAATTTCCCAGTCTCAGGTATGTCTCTATAGCAGTGTGAGAACAGACTACTATAGAAAATTGGTGCCAGGAGTGGGGTCTTGCTATAAAGATACCTGAATATGTGGAAGCAACTTTGGAAGTGGCTACTGGGTAAAGGTTGAAATAGTTTGGAGAGCTCAGAATAAGACAGGAAAATGAGGGAACTTCCTAGAGACTTGTTGAATGGTTGTGACCAAAATGCTGATAGTGACATGGACAGTGAAGTCCAGGCTGACATAGTCTCAGATGGAGATGAGGAACATATTGAACACTGGAGTAAAGGTCACTCTTGCTATACTTTACCAAAGAGACTGGCAGCACTGTGCCCCTTCTCTAGGGATCTGTGGAACTCTGAAATTGAGAGAGATGATTTAGGGTATCTGGCAGAATAAATTTCAAAGCAGCAAAGCATTCAAGATGTGACCTGGCTTCTAACAGCCTATGTTCTTATTCATGAGCAAAGAGATTATCTGAAACTAGAACTTATATTTGAAAAGAAAGCAGGCCAGACATGGTGGCTCATACCTGTAATCTTACGCTTTGGTGGGCTGAGGCAGGTGGAATCACTTGAGGTCAGGAGTTTGAGACCAGTTGGGCAATATAGTGAAACCCTGTCTCTACTAAAAATACAAAAAGTTGGCCAGGGTTGGTGATGCATGCCTATAATTCCAGCTACTTGGGAGACTGAGGCACAAGAATTCCTTGAACCCAGGAGGCAGAGTTTGCAGTGAGCCATGATCACACCACTGCACTGCAGCCAGGATGACAGAGTGACTCTGTCTCAAAAAAAAGAAAAGGAAAGAAAAGAAAAAAAGGAAAGCATAGCATAAAAGTTTGGAAAATTTGTAGCCTAAACATTTGGTAAAAAAAGAAAAAGAAAAAGAAAAACTCATCTTCTGGGGAGGAATTCAAGGCAGCAGAAATTTGTGTAAGTAAGGAGGAGCCAAATGTTAATAGTCAAGATAATGGGGAAGATGTGGCTCTAGGGTATTTCAGAGCCCTCTGTGGCAGCCCTTCCCATCACAGACCTGGAGGTCTGGCAGGAAAAAATGGTTTTATGGACCAGGCCCAGGGCCCTGCTGCTCTGTGCAGCCTCAGGACATGGTACCTACATCACAGCTGCTTCAGCTCCAGCTGTAGCTAAAAGGGCCCCAGATATGTCTCAGACCTCTGCTCCAGAGGGTGCAAGCCACAAGCCTTGGCAGCTTTCCATGTAGTGTTAAGACTGCAGGTGTGGAGAAGGTAAGAGTTGAGGCTTGGGAGTCTCTGCTTAGATTTCAGAGAATTTATGGAAATACCTGGATGTCCAGACAGAAGTCTGCTGCAGGGGCAGTGCCCTCATAGAGAACCTCTACTGGGGCAGTGTAGTGGGGAAATGTGTGGTTGGAGCCCCCACACAGAGTCCCCACAGGGCACTGCCTAGTAGAGCTCTGAGGAGAGGGCCACCATCCTCCAGACCCCAGAATAGTAGATCCATTGACAGCTACTACTGTGTGCCTGGAGAAGCCGCAGGCACTCAACACCAGCCCATGAAAGGAGCCATGGGGACTGTACCCTGCAGAGTTACAGAGGTAGAGCTGCCCAAGGCCTTGGGAGCCCACTGCTTGCATCAGTGTGGCCTGGGTGTGAGACATGGAATCAAAGGATATTATTTTTGAGCTTCAAGATCTAATGACTGACTGTTGGGTTTCAGACTTGTGCAGGGCCTGTAGCCCCTTTGTTTTGGCCTATTTCTCCCTTTTGGAATGGGAGCACTTACCCAATCCCTGTACCCCCATTGCATCTTGGAAGTAACTAACTTGCTTTTGATTTTATGGGCTCATAGGTGAAAGGGACTTGCCTTGTCTCGGATGAGACTCTGGACTTGCACTTTTGAGTAAATCCTGGAATGAGTTAAGACTGTTAGGGGGACTGTTAGGAAGGCATGATTGTGTTTTGAAATGTGAAAATGACATGAGATTTGGGAGGGGCCAGGGACAGAATGATATGGTTTGGCTCTGTGTCCCCACCGAAAACTCACATTGAATAGTAATTCCCAATGTTGGAGGAGGGGCATGGTGGGAGGTGATTGGATCAACGAGGGTGGTTTCTAATAGTTTAGAACCATCCCCCTAGTGCTAGCTTGAGATCTGATTATTTGAAAATGTGTGGCACCTTCCTCTTCCCCCAGGCTCCCGTTTGCCATGGGAAGACAAGCCTTCTTCCTTGTACCTTTCCCCCATGATTGTAAGTTTTCTGAGATCTACTCAGAAGCAGAAGCCTATGCAGCCTGCAGAACCATGAGCCAATTAAACCTCTTTTTTTAATAAATTATCCAGTCTCAAGTACGTCTTTATAGCAGTGTGAGAACAGATTAATACAGCCCGTGATAAGCAGATCTTAGTGAGAGGTAACCAGGCTTCTCTACCTATGGGTATCCTTCTTTCTTACGTCTCAAGAAGCTTTTCCTGCTGATTTGCAGGAAAATAATGAAATTTTGGTCACTCCTCCAATGAAAACATTTGATTCACTAATATAGAATGTAGGTTCATGCCTTTCTGTGTACAACTGAAACTTTGTGTTTCAATGCCGAATTGTGCTGTCATCTTTTTGATGACATGGCAATTAAACTCGGCGTGTTTATACCCCCAAAGCACATTACTCAGTTGGAGTGACAAGAACAGGACAAGGAGGACCAAGTTCTGCCATTTGGAGACAGTAACAGCTGTGTTTTGACTATGGTTTGGCTGCCAGCATTAAATTCCTATGTGGATCTGGAGTCATTAGCTGGGATGAGATGTGTGCTTGTGTCACCTTGAATGCCCACTTTAGCTGACTGGTGGTGGCCTCCCAGGACCCTACACTTCATTCAGGAGGATTGTGAGGCCATCCACGGGAAAGAACTCCATTGCCCCATCACTCATGTCCTCCAGTTGGTCTCCAGGTGAGGAAGGGCATGTGTTTAAGGATGAGGATTTGCCCTCCCAGCCTTGGAGAGCATTCAGAAGGCCACTGTAATTGGGGTCAGGGCAGCGCAGTGAGAGGGCAGAATGACACAGATGTAAAAGATCATTGAGGAAGATGTCAGACTTGTCATTGAAGTAGACATGGAAGGTGGCTGCAGCTTTGAGCCTGGCTGACCGGCAGCACGTGGCTGGAGCAGTGGTGTGAATAACTCAGTTAGGGGCTGGATGGAGGAAAGGGTGGATGGAGCCGTTTTTGGACCTGCTGACTTTGAGGTGGCTAGTCTATCCAAGCAGTTATCAATGTGGCACTGGAACTTCTTTCAAGAAGTTTGACAAATAATAGAAATTGGGCAGTAATTGGAGGGAGCAGCAGTGTCCAAGAAAACATGGAGGCAGGTTGGCAGGGGCCTAAGGTGTGCTAGAGAGGAGGGTGATTCATGGGGCAGGGTCCCAGCACTGCAAGAGGGGAGGGGATCGAGAGTTAGGCGATGGAGTTAGCCTGGAATTACTCATGCGACGTGGGCAGATGACAGGTACCGTCCCCTTGCTCTTCAGCTGGCTGAGCTGCGCATTAGCCCTTCCTCTCTCCAACTTTTCGCCCCATGGTTCTCTGGCCCCTCTCTGGTTGGGTCTGAGTATGCTTTCTTGCTAGGCCCTCCTGGCTTGCACATCGTGCTGTGCCATGGTTCCTTCTTTCCATTCCAGTGGCCCCCAAGGGAACAGGTTTCCCCTGCCATGAAGTAGAGGCCATTCTCCTTACAGCCTCCTGATCCCTATCTCAGCCTTTCTCCATGCCCAAAGGAGGCTGTCTCATGCTTTCCAAACTTTCCTAAGTTACTAGAGCCTTTTCTTCTTCCAATCAGAATCATTCAACCAGTATGCCTTCCTCTCAGGCCTTTTCTTTCTCCTGCTTTCTGTGTTACTCTCCCGGTCATGGCCATCTGGCCTCTGTGGACCCTTTTCATCATCACGCTTCATAAAGTCATGCCTACTTCCGGTTTTGAAGCCTTCTCAGAATCAATGTTAGTATATCTAAAAATCCAAGTATATTTCGGTTACTCAAGTTCCAGGCCCATGACTTATTCTCAAGCCATAAAGCAGTGGATTTTAATGGCTGAAAAGTCAGCTGGAAATCATCTCATCCAGCGCTTCCCAACATCTGTTCCTACTGAGAAGTTCATAGGCACGTGGAGAAAAAAAAGGGTTGTGTGATCAAGTAAGTTTGAGAAATGCCGGTTTCAACCAAATTAAACACATTTTTTAAAACCACAGAGCATTAATGTGTTCCTATGCCATGTGACTCCCGCAGGAGCAGGAGGGAGTGTATCCTATGCTTATTTGACTATGGAACCTTTCGTCACAGCGCGTCACTGATCTGATCCTCTGCCATGTTTAGTGGGCAAGCACACTCGCACGTCCTGAGCATCTGAGGTCAGTCGCTGAGGTTTCTCAGGTTCTGGGGACCTGACATTTCTCAGGTGCTGTGGCTCTAACAGGAGCCGTTGTGACAGTGCCTCTTGCTGTGACGTTTGTGAATCTTTAACCATGCGTTTAGCAAGAGTTCGGCTCTGCTGTGAACTGATGCCAAGGGAAAACTGCTCTGAACTTTCCCAAATGAAAAATAAGAATTAGACACACAGTAGGGTGAGACCACAGCCAGTGACAACCCTTTTACTAGGGAGCACTAAGCAGCACACTGTGGCCGCAGGAGGAAGCTGGACTCTGACTCCTGAGCGGGAGTTCCAAGCCCTTCCCGATTCAACTCCATTTCCCACATCCCTCCTGGATGGACCCGGTATCACCGCGGTGCAGAGCCGCCTGCCGCTTTCCTGAGCATGACACCAGAGGAGCCACCCTGGTGGCCCTGATGATGCCCTGCTGCTGTTGGCAGTGTCCTTTTGCAACCGCAGGCCGGGGGGACGACCACGTTTACTCAAGATTCACACCTCCCGACCTCTCCAAGTGGGCTGCTTTCTCCTCCGAGCTCCTGAAGACACGTGTACCCAAAAATTCTGATATCGAACTAGCACATTCCTTTAACTATTTGGTTTCGGTTTGTCCTCGTCAGCGGACCCCCGTCTTTGAGGGCAGAAACCCCCTTCCGTTTACTACTGTGCCCGTGGCCCTGCGCTCATAAAGGGCTTGGCCTGGAGCAGGTCTGGGCAAATTTTGTTCAATGAACGCGCCCTCGCTGGTGAGGCTGGCCAGCAGATGCTGCAGGAGAGTTACCTGTGTGGGAGGTCCGCGGAAGGACTTCCGAGACAAATGACATTTGAGAAGGACTCGGAGGAAACCCCTGGACTGGCAAGAGAGAGAGGGAAACACCGTTCCAGGTGAGGGTAGGGTGGAAAGGGAGGATGAGAGGGATGTGGCAGGGAACAGATGAACAAAGGTGGCGGGAGAAATTACATCCTGGGCAGAGCAGAGAAGCCAGGTGGGGTAGAGGAGTGAAGGAGAGCAGCGATCAGGCAGAAGAAAGAGTGGAAGTAAGGCCTTGACGGAGAAGTGCCGGGAGCTGGACAGGGCCATGTGGCTGCAGGGGCTCAGTTCACATATGGCCTCCTGCTGCCCAGCGGTTTTCAGGTGCTGCCTGGCTCTCAAACATTTACATAACTGAAACCATCTCAGAGAAGGCTGTATTTTTAGCCAGGGGCTCCGGCTGTGCTATGTGATCGTTCCAGTTATCCTGGTTACTAGAGTGGCAGGGAGGCTCTTGTAGATGAGTAGACATTAAATTCTCATTCTGACTTGCCTCTGATAGGCTCAGACGCTAGGAAAGCCACCAGACCCTTCTAGATCACCTGCCTGAGTGGCAGAGGGCAGAGTGTTGCAGTCTGAGTTTGGTCTCTTTCTGAGGGGCAATGGTAGAAGTTTCCCTTCCATGGCAGGGGGAGGGAGGGGGCCACTTGGGAGAGTCCTTATTTCTCCTTGATGATGGGCATTGGTTCCTAACCCACTGGAACAGTTTATCAGTTTCATTGATCCCTAGTGGTGCAGGGTAAAACCTGTTACATAGGGTCACAGTACAAAAAGGACTCATATGTCTTTTTTTTTTTTTTAAGACTAAGTTTCTCTCTTGTTGCCCAGGCTGGAGTGCAGTGGCATGATCTTGGCTCACTGCAACCTTTGCCTCCCTGGTTTGATTTTCCTGCTTCAGTCTCCTGAGTAGCTGGGATTACAGGCGCCCGCCACCACATCTGGCTAATTTCTGTATTTTCACTAGATACAGGTTTCACCATGCTGGCCAGGCTGGTCTCAAACTCCTGACCAGAGGTGATCCACCAGCCTTGGCCTCCCAAAGTGCTGGGATTATAGGCATGAGCCACTGTGCCCGGCCTCATATGTCTTCTGACCCATGGGGTGCTGCTAGCCATCAAATTGGGCAGTCGAATGTGGGATGCATTCCTTTCAGTGTTGGGTTGTAGCTGCCTGAGCAGATATAACCAGTTCATTCATTGAACTGAAGAAGCTTTATGTTCCAGTAGGGACTCATGGAAAAAGACCTTCAGTTTCTTCAGTTATCAGATAGGCTCACAAACATTATTTTTTTTTTTTAATTATGGTAAAATGTACTTAACAAAATTTTTCATTTTAACCATTTTTAAGTGTATGGTTCTGTGGCATTAGGCACATTCACTTGTTGTGTAATCATCACCACATCTATCTACAAAATTTTCCATCTTCCCCAACTGAAATTCCGTTCAGAATTAACACCATTGTTTAATTAACATTAACTCCCAAAGTGCTGGGATTATAGGCATGAGCCTATAATTGTTTAATTAACATTAAACAATAACTTCCCTTCCCTCCTGCCTTCCAGCCCCTGACAACCACTTCTTTCTGTCTACTTCTACTTTCTTATGTATGTATGTATTTCTTTATTTCTGAGCCTTGCTCTGTTGCCCAAGTTGGAGTGCAATGGTGCAATCATAGCTCACTGCAGGCTCAAAATTCTGGGCTTAAGCAATCCTCCCACCTCAGCCTCCTAAGTAGCTGGGACTACAGATGTGTGCCACCACACTCTGGCTAATTTTTTAATTTTTATTTTTTGTAGAGATAGGGTCTCATTATGTTAACCAGGCTGGTCTCAAACTCCTGGGCTCAAGCGAGCCTTCCACCTCAGCCTCTCAAACTGCTGGATTACAGGCATGAGCCACCACACCTGGACCGATTTTCTATCTCTATGAATTTGTCTATTCTAGATACCTCTTAGAAGTGGAATTATAAAATATGTTTTTTTGTGTCTGGCTTATTTTACCTAGCACCCATGTTTTATCTATGGATGAAACTTATCAATATTTCATCCATATCATAGCATGCGTCAGAATTTCCTTGTATGTGTATACAACATTTTGTTTACTTATCCCCCAACAGAATATTACCTTTTTATTTTTTAACTGTAATTTTTATTTGTAGTTGACAAATAACAATTGTAGACTTGCAGGGTACAATGTGATGTTTTCATATTGTGGAATGATTATATCAAGCTAATTAACACATCTACCACCTCACATACTTATCATTTTTTGTAGTAAGTGCATTTAAAATCTATTCTTTAGCAATTTTGAGATATATAATACATTATTATTAACTGTGGTTGCCATGCTGGGTAATAGATCTTGAAGACTTATTCCTCCTGTCTAACTGGAACTTTCTACCCTTTGGTCAACATCTCTCCATTCCCCACCCCCACCTCCAGCATCTGGTAACCACCATTCTACACTTAATTCTATAAGTTTGACTTTTTAAGATTCTACATATAAGTTATATTACATAGTACTTATCTCTCTTGCCTGGCTTATTTCACTCAGCATAGTATCTTCCAGGTTCATTCATGTCAAAAATGACAGGATTTCCTTCTTTTTAAAGGTTGCTAGTAATCCATTACATATATATGCCACCTTTTCTTTATCCATTCATCCATTGATGGACACCTAGGTTGATTTCATATCTTGGTTATTATAAATAATGCTGAAATGAACATGGGAGTACAGATATCTATTTAACATACTGATTTCAATGATTTTGGATCTATATCCAGAAGTGGGATTGCTAGATCATATTGTAATTCCATTTTTAGGCTTTAAAAAATTTATGAACAATAGAAATTCATTTCTCAGTTCTGAAGGCTGGGAAGTTCAAAAGATAGGCACCAGCAGGTTTGGCTTCTGATGAGGGCTTGTTCTCCACTTCCAAGATGGCACCTTGCTGTGTCCTGTGTCCTCACATGGCAGAAGAGATGGAAGAGGGAAGGAGCCAGAGCACTCCTCTCAGCCATTTTTATAAGGTGCTTAATCACTTCCCAAAAGGCCCTACCTCTTAGTACTATCACCTTGGGGGTTAAGTTCCAACATATGAATTTTGGGGGTATAGACACACATTCAGATGTGTGTCTTGGCCCCCTTAAACTCATGTCCTTCTTACATACAAAATACATTCATTCTGTCTCAGTAACCTTAAAAGTCTTAAATTCTTCCAGCACCAACTTAAAGGTCTAAAAACCAGGATCTTATCTAAATATCATCTAAATCAGACACAGATGAGACTCAAAGGTGTCTTTCATCTTGAGGCAAACTGCTCTCCAGCTGTGAACCTGTGAAATCAGACAAGTTAATGTGCTTCCAGAATACAATGGTGGAACAGGTACAGGATAGCTGTTTCATTCCAAAAGGGAGAAAGAAGAAGAAAGGGGTTGCAAGTAAGTCCAAAACCCAACCAGGAAAACAACAACAAGGCTTGAAATTAATCTTTCCTTCATGTTGATCTTGTGGACACAGTGGCGCAGAGTTTTTTAGTTTTTTGGGGAACCTCCATATTATTAATTTCTAAAGTTTCTTTAGCTAAGGTCTTTAACATATTTTTTTTAACATTTTTTGTCTTTATTTTTTATTTTTTTGAGATGGAGTTTCGCCCTTGTTACCCAGGCTGGAGTGCAATGACGCAATCTCGGCTCACTGCAACCTCTGCCTCCTGGGTTCAAGCGATTCTCCTGCCTCAGCCTCCCGAGTAGCTGGTACTATAGGCACGCGCCACCACACCCAGCTAATTTTTGTATTTTCAGTAGAGACAGGGTTTCACCATGTTGACCAGGATGGTCTCAATCTCTTGACCTTGTGATCCACCCGCCTCGGCCTCCCAAAGTGCTGGGATTACAGGCCTGAGCCACTGCACCCGGCCAATCTTCAACATATTTTTTAACTAACTGATAATGTATCTGTCTTCCCCATTAGACTGTAAGCTCCTTGATGAGTTTATTCATCTTCGTGCTTCTAGCTCAGTGCCAAGTGGCCAATAATGTGTTAAATGTATAAATAAATGGCTGGTGCTCTGATTTGGATATTTGCCCAAGAATCAGAACCCAGCTTTTCACTGGAACCTGATCTTCTACATAAAACCAAGCCAGGAATATTCAATTCTCTGAGCCTTTTTATTAGGGACATAATATTCACTCCTAGATTGTTTGCCTGATCCCACAGGCTGAGATTGCTGTTGAAACACTCAGGATTAAAACACTAACATCTTCATCTTTTCCTCGAGAATCTTTCTTGAAATTAACAAATTCAAAAGCTGCTCTATTGGAAATCATTCAGGAATTGTCATGGGTTTTTGTTAAAATGCACACACACACACACACACACAGAGCAATTGTGACATGGAAAGCAAATCACTTGAAACAGGCCTTCTTTTTCTGTTTTCTTGTGGCTGGATCCTCCTCCCTGAAATTGCCTCTCTTGTCTTCTGTGATGCTAGACTTGTCTCTTTCCTCTTCTCTTTTTCTGTCCTTTTCAGAGACTCTAAATTACAATGTGTCTACCCTTAGCACTCTTGTCTTTTCTATATATAATGTTTAACTGCATCTAATCTATTATCTCTACATGGATGATTCCCAAAACTTAATCTCTGGCCCCCAAGCTTCACGACTGTGCTCCAGCTGCCTCTGGATCACACTCTCTCTGGAGAGCTTCGACGTGCCTGAGACTGGGTCTATATTTCCTCCACCTCCCAGCATTCTCCCTGGGAACCCATCTTTACTCCTTCTCCCCAGCCTCCCATTCGTGACTCATCAAGTGTTTATTGAGCTCTTGCTGTGTGCTAGGCACCACTCTAGCTACTTAATTAGCTGGCTAACCCAACAATTCAAAAATCAGCCACCGAGCCTACAATATGCAGTCTTTTAGCTCTCCTTTTGCGTCTACTTTACGTATGATTTCCTAGAGTTGTGGGAACAAAATATCACCAAGCTGGAGGGCTTCAAACAGCAGAAATTTACTTTCTCACAGTTCTGGAGGCCTGAAGGCCAAGATCAAGGTGTGGGCAGGATTTGTTCCATCTGAGGCTGGGAGGAGACGCTGCTCCAGGCCTCTCTCCCCACATCTGGTGATTCACTGGCTGTCTTTGGCATTCCTAGGCTGCAGAACATCACTCAGTCCCTCACCTTCACGTGGCCTTCTCGCTGTGTCTTCGCATTGTTTTCAGAAAGACGTTGCATGTCTGCCTCTGTGGTCAGAGAACCCCTAAGGTCATTTGCAGAAGGACTGGAAGTTAGGACATCAGCATATCATTTTGGGGAGACAGTTCAACCTGTAACACCCAATTATCTCTCCTTTCTTTCAGATGTCTATCTTTTCTGGGCACAGTTAGTCTTCTGGGCTGCCTTTGCCCCACACTTTTTTTTTCCTGAGATGGAGTTCGCTCTTGTCACCTAGGCTGGAGTGTAGTGAGGCGATCTTGGCTCACTGCAACCTCCACCTCCTGGGTTTAAGCAATTCTGCTGCCTCAGCCTCCAGAGTAGCTGGAATTACACACGCATGTCACTGTGCCCAGCTAAGTTTTGTATTTTCAGTCGAGAGGGGGTTTTACCATGTTGGCCAGGCTGGTCTTGAACTCCTGACGTTATAATCCACCCACTTCAGCCTCCCAAAGTGCTGGGGTTACAGACGTGAGCCACTACTTCCAGCCTGTCCTGCGTTTCCTTTACCACCCTTAGCTTCTGTCACTGCCTGGGTGTCTGCAGCCCTGCGAGGTAAGCCAGGACTCTGTCTTTCTCTTTCCACCCTCACGGCCTAGAATAGTACATATTCACACTGCCAGGCGTTCCTGAATGACTGGATGGGTGGACATTTCAATGAATGGATGGATGGACAGACAGACAGATGGATGGATGGATGAATGAATGGAATAACTAGAGAAGTTGGTTTTGATTTACCTTGCCAGCCTTAGACCCCATCATTCAAGCAGTCTGTCCTCCGCCAAATGTTTGGCTTCAGTTCTCCATCCTCTTACTTTCTCTGTCCCCTCAAGCTCAGGTTCCAGCCCTCATCCAAGGCCCAGCTCAAGTTATGCTTCAGTGCTGGTGCCCCCCCACCCCAAGAGATGTTTGCTTTTTCCTAACTTTCATGACATGTTACCGGTGCCTTTTCTTTGGCACTCTTTGCTCCAGCTTTGGATTACAGTAATTTACCCCAGAACTCTTTTGCAAAGAGGGATTTTACATATGGACTAAGACCAAGATAGCTGTGTTGGATCTTCTGGGGACATTTTAAAAATCATTACAGATCCCTGAGCCCCACACTTAGAGATTCTGATGAGCAGGTCTGGGTGGGTCGCTGGAATATGTACTTTTAAAAGGTTCCCCAGGCAATTCTCACACTCAGTCAAGTTTGGGAACCTTTAATCCAGTCCAACCTCCTTACTTTACTTTTGGGGAACTGGAGGTACAAAATTGTTAAATAATTTTCCTAAGATCACTTAATTAGTGGCAGAGCCACCCAATTATGTGGTTGTGGTTGTCCCAGCTTTTCAATCAGATGTAAGCAGTTCAGAAGCAATGCCTGTACTTTGCTTATCATGTAAGTACCACCTGTGCACCTCAGTCAAGATGGGCCACTCACAGTAAGTGGCACTGTTAGTGACACAATGGATGGCTACACTGCATGCCCCGAGAAGACAGACGCCAAGTCTGTGCATACTAACTTTTATTTCCAGCACCTTGCACAGTGCCTGGCATGTAGTACGGTGTTTCATTAATATTGGTCCAATGAATGAAGCATCTGCTCTATGCCAGGCACTAGAGTAGAAGTTTTACATATATCATCTCATTTCATTTATTCTAACCACTACCCTGTGAAGTAGGCTTTCATAGTCCCATTTTAAAGATGAGGAAACAAGGCTGGGCGCAGTGGCTCACGCCTGTGATCCCAGCACTCTGGGAGGCAGAGATGGGTGGATCACCTGAGGCCAGGAGTTAAAGACCAGCCTGGCCAACATGTGAAACCTTGTCTGTACTAAAAATACAAAAATTAGCCAGGCGCAGTAGCATGCACCGGTAATTCCAGCTACTCAGGAGGCTGAGGCAGGAGAATTGCTTGAACCTGGGAGGCCAGGTTGCAGTGAGCCGAGATGATGCCACTGCACTCTGGCCTAGGCAACAGAGCGAGAGTCCATCTCAGAAATAAATAAAGAAAGAAAGATGAGGAAACAGGACCAGAGGCTAGGCCATCTGCTCTATGTCATGCAGAAAACAATCAGCATAAGTGAGTTCTTGAACTCCTGACCTTGTGATCCGCCCGCCTTGGCCTCCCAAAGTGTTGGGATTATAGATGTGAGCCACCGCGCCTGGCCCAATCAGCATAACTGAGTTCTAAAGCCCATTGCTGTTTCTACAGTGCTGCAGGATGCCCATGCTCCACCCTCAGTGTTCTTCAGAAAGCTGGGGGTCACTCCAAAACAATACATGGGGAGAGATATTCAAAAGCGTCAGTGTAGAAGCCTCAGTTTTGTTTCCAGCTCTAACCTAGCCTTGCTGCTCCATGAGGTAATATAAAAGGTAGTTCTACTACAATTTTTATTGTGTATGTTCTAGAACATTCCGTACTCTTACCATTTGCATGCTTATATGTGTATGACTCAATACTATGAAAAGCTTTACAAGAATTTCATCCTCTTTCTTCTTTGTTTTTTTTTTTTTTAATGCTATTAAAATCCTCCTCCTTTTGTAAGGCGGCAGTGCCAGGACTAGGGCAAACGGAGTTCAGAGAGTGTCCCGGCATGAACTATTCTAATACCAGGTTTCAGATATGAGCTAATGGCTGAAAAACAGGAGTCAGAGATGTGAGTGGGCCCCACACACCTAGTCCCCTGCGCAGACCACTGGCGAAGTGAGTGGGTTCTTTTGTACCAGAAGCATTGCATGCCAGGGACGCAGCCTCTAAAATGACAGGGCTCTGACTCCACTGTTAGGCATGAGAGGGAGACCAAGGTCGCCACATCGCAGACACTGAGTTTCAGCTTTGCCGTCTGAAATGTTTCTGTTTCTTTCTTTCCAATTTGATATTTTACTTGGATGCGGGCCTTGAGTTTATACTTCATGTAGACAGTTTCCTCGTTCTTTGTGGCCTCCTTTTCATTGCTGTTGCTTCCTCAATCGGTCCTTACTGAAACCCCAATCTCAGTGGTGTGGGAATGACCATGAGAGACCTCGCTCTGAGGTGCTCACATGGAACTTCCAGTCCCACAAGCCGACGCCCCGCCTTGTCCTCCCTGGCTGCTTCCACCCTGCCCCTGCATCTTTCAAATATGTGTATCTTTTCTTTCAAATTGTCACTTACCTTCCCTTCTTTTCTTAAAATTAAAAAAAAAAATTTTTCTTAGAGGCAGGGTCTTGCTGTGTCACCAGGCTGGAGTGCAGTGGCACTATCATGGCTTACTGCAGCCTTGAACTCCTGGGCTCAAACTATCCTCCCTCCTCAGCCTTCCGAGTAGCTGGGACCACAGACACGCATCATCATGCCTGTTTTATTCATTTAACTTGCCTTGAACAGAATTACATTAATAAGAACTCTGATCTTGTAAATAACCCAAGATTCCTTGCAGACAAAGCTGGGATCACAGAGCCACCTCCTAGAAAAGCCACATCGAGGCCTTGAGGGAGCCTAGAAAACCTTGGGGGAGCCTCAGAACTCTAGGCTTAGTGTGGCTGATGGTTCTTTTCCTCCTCTCTATGCCAGGGTAGCAAATTGCATATCACAGCAGACTACTTGGAAGTAACTAAATGAGATATGGGAATAAACTCCTTGGGGTCCTGGGATAGTGATATCCTAGTATTGGATTTCATAATAAGCAACCACTTTTATGGTGAGGGACTTGAAAGCCAACTGCTGTCAGAATTATTGAAGATACCAACATGAGGCCAATATACACAATATAGGCAAAACCTTTTTATAGTAAAATCCCACACACCATCCAAATTCTTTTGTAGTATAGTACTAAACTTTTGCTGATTAAATCTCACTGAGGTCTGTAGACCATAAGCTGGGTTTGAATTTAAAAATAAAATAAATTTTCACTGTAGAAATATGTTTAATGGAATCTGATCTATATTACTTCTGCCAAGAAGGAATTCAAAATTACCAATTGGAGTTAATGTGGTACAAAGAACTAGAAACCTCTCATTCTCAGGAAATGGACAGGGCAGGGGGAGTCTTTAATGAAAGCACTGTGTCAGTAATTTTTGTAGCTTAATATCGCCACGTGTATTTTCATGGGTTCAGAATAGATTCTCAGAGACAGGGTGTTATAGTAGAAAGAGCAGAGGATTAAGCATCAGGAACCAGATTGACCCCTAGTCCTGTAACCCTGGGTAATTTACCTGACTTCTCTGTGTACCCATTTCCTCACCTATAGGAATGGAGAGATTGCACAGGGTGCGGTGTGGTTCATGCCTGTAATCCCAGCACTGCTGGGAGACCAAGGTGGGAAGATCACTTGAGGCCAGAAGTTCAAGGCTGCAGTGAGTTATGATAGTGCCCTGCACGCCAACCTGGGTGACAGTGTAATACCTTGTTTAAAAAGATAAAAATAGGCCAGGCATGGTGGCTCATGTCTGTAATCCCAGCACTTTGGGAGGCCAAGGTGGGTGGATCACCTGAGGTCAGGAGTTTGAGATCAGCCTGGCCAACATTGCCTAACCCTGTCTCTACTAAAATTACAAAAATTAGCCAGTGTAGTGGTGCGCCCCTATAATCCCAGCTACTTGGGAGGCTGAGGCACGAGAATCACTTGAACCCAGAAGGTGGAGGTTGCAGTGAGCTGGGATCATGCCACTGCACTCCAGCCTGGGTGACAAGAGCGAAAATTGACGGATTGGGCTAGGTAAGTGGTTTTTGAGAACTTTGAGACAGTTCTTACTTGACGGCCAGTGGAGATACCGTTCCCTCCCCAATTTTCAACTACACAAATGTTATTTATTTTGCTTCAACATATGATTTTAGTGGAAAAAATAGAGTTCTACTTCTTTAAAAAAAAAACAAAACAAAACACTGAACTAGATAATTCCTACTCCTAAACCTTTGTGATTCAATATAGTGTCTACCCATCAAATTGTTTAGACCCCTGGGTGATACTCATGTTTTTAGGAAGGGTCCCTACACCGAAAGCCCAGGTCAGCCAGTTTTTGCGTGTAGACAAGTTCCTGCATTGGTACTCTTGTACTAGTGCACAATCTAGAAGTTGCATTGGGGCAGCAGGGAGAGAATTCTTATCAATGAGTTTTTAGCTCGGTTGTACACAGCAGTTACCAGAACAATTAAGAGAGACAAAGTTCTCCAACACCTCGATCATCTTTGGTAGAGAGCTTTGGAAGAGACAAATACAGTCTACTTCTTCGGACTTCCTAAGCTGTGGAGTAAGGGATTCAGTGTCTGTGGCTGTGAAATGGGGTCTGAGAATTTTATCCCATCAAACTGACAGGGCAGTTTTGAGTTGGGCAACAGGAATTGTAATACTGGGGCAATATTTGCTTGTCATCAGTTTGACCTCTTCTTGATGTGCTCTTTTTGACCCCACTGATTCTCCCTTGATCCCCATATAAGGTGTCCCATTCCCCCATCCAAACTGACTCACCACCAGGAATTGTCCTCTGTTCTAAAGGGGCTCAGCCAGTTTCATTGGCCTTCTGTTCAGCTTCCCTCCATCTCTTATCCCCAGTTCTCTGTAAATCCTTATTCCTTCTTAAAGTATTCCCTGATTCATGGAAATGAAATGATCCAGCTTAGTTTACAAAACCAGGAAATTATTCCTCTGGACCAGAGAGAGCGAGAGAGAGAGAACAAGAAAGAACAACAGAAAACCCAAACAGAATATATACAGGGAAGACAGATCTATTCGGCATTGTTCCCATTCAAATGGAAACCCCATGGGGAGAGGAACTGCATCTGTGGAATGTATAGTGGATTTCTTTCACATATGGGCACTCAGTAAACATTATTAATGAATGATAATGATTTGTCAAGTGATTGAAATTGTTTCAGGGCAGGAACAGCGAATGAAATACGGAGACATTCTTCTTTCTCATGGGGAAATTCCTAGGCAGTTCATCCAGATGTATTTTCTTTGGGGAGCTGTGAATTCCTTGTGTGTCCAGCTATCACTATATAATTATATTTTACGTTCTCAGTAATACATATCATCATTATATGTATCATCATTTTATGTGTATATATACAATACCCCATACATATATATGTACACATGTATATATTTATATGTATAAAATTAAAGTGTAGAACTTCCAGTTTCCTGTCCGGCATATAAGAAGCTTACAAATTGCAATTCCATCCTAACAAGTAAAAAGCTGAACAAACTGAAAAAGCAGGTCTCCTTGGATCCGTAAGGGAAGCAAGGTCACAGAGCAAACTACTGTCCCCAGAATTGGAGAAACTGGCTTCAGGAGAATGCAGCTTCACAAGGTACCAGAGCAGAAGCCCCCGGCAGTGCCGAGGCAGGGAGACCTGAGCTGTCATGGCCAAGTTGCCCGAGGCGCAGAGTGGGCACGTCTGCAGTTGAAGATCCACAGGAACCAAGTCGTTGTCCCCTGTCCCTCACCTTCTGGAGCTTCCCCGAGTTCTCACAGTGAATAATGGAGAAAAATCCCCTCGTGCCTCCTGCAGTGGGAAGAAGAAAAGGGACCATTTTGAAAGAGGCCAGAGCACTCTGCTCTTCCTAAAAAGGTCACCACCTCTCACCCCGCTGCTGCTTTGCCAGCACCTAACTGACCTGGGGGAAGGGAAACCCCTTCACCAGCCCACTCTAGCCATCTCCCGGTCCACTTAAGATGGGCATGGAAGGGAGGACCGAGACAAATTTGTGAAGTTTAGCTGAGGGGCGCAAGCTCACCAAACTCTGAGGCCTGATTGTATTCTGTAGAATAGACCTTCCCACCACACACTCGTGGCCTCTCTATGGTAGTTCCTTTTACCCAGTCAAAGCCGCTATCAAGAAAACAATATAAGACATACTAAAAGGCAAATAGGACCAGGCACGGTGGCTCACACCTGTAGTCCCAGCACTTCCAGAGGCTGAGGCGATGGATCACCTGAGGTCAGGAGTTCGAGACGAGCCTGACCAACATGGAGAAACCCTGACTCTACTAAAAAAAAAAAAATATATATATATATATATACGTGTGTGTGTGTGTGTGTATATATATATACACACACACACACACACACGTATATATATTAACTAGGTGTGGTGGCATGCACCTGTAATTCCAACTACTCAGGAGGCTGAGGCAAGAGAATCACTTGAACCCAGGAGGCAGAAGTTTCAGTGAGCCAAGATTGTGCCACTGCACTCCAGCCTGGGTGATAGAGTGGGACTCTGTCTCAAAAATAATAATAATAAAGTAAAAGGCAAACAACACAGGTTGAAGAGACAGAGCAAGCTTCACAACCAGACTCAAAGACAGCAGAGATGCTGGAATTATCAGGCAGGAAATTGAAACTAACTCTGATTAATGTGAGGGGCTGTAATGGATAAGTAGGCAGCACGCAGGAACAGGTCGGTGATGTAAGCAGGGAGATGGGAATTCTTAGAAAAAAACAGATCAAATGGCAGAGAGCAAAGCATAGTGATGGAAATGAAGAATGCCACTGATGGGTTTTGATGGATTTGTGGACTGGACACAGCTGAGGAAAGGCTCTCTGAGCATAAGTTTATCTCAATAGAAACTTCCAAATCTGAAAAGTGAAGAAAAAAAAACCACACACACACACACAGAATAGAATATCCAAGAACTGTGGGACAGCTACAAAAGGCATAGCGTGTGTAATGGGAATACTAGAAGGAGAAGGAAGAGAAAGGAAGAGAAGAAGCATTTGAAATTATAATGCCTGAGATTTCTCTAAATTAATGTCAGACACTAAACCACAGATCCAGGAATCTCAGAAAAATGCCAGAAAAACTAAACCTGGGCATATCATTTTCAAACCACAGAAAATCAAAGATAAAGAAAAAATCTTGGAAAGAGCCAGCGTGAAAAAAGTACATTACCTCTAGAGGAGCAAAGAGAACAGCATCTGACTTACCTGCAGAAACCAGGCAAGCAAGGAGAGAGTGGAGTGGGATGGAAGGGTTGAGAGAGAAAACTCACCAACCTAGAATTCTTTAATTATCCTTTAAAAGTAAAGGATTCAGGGAATTTGTTGCTAGTAGACCTGCCTTGCAAGAAATGTTAAAAGAAATTCTTTAGAGAGAAAGAAGATGATATAGGTCAGAAACTTAGATCTACGTAAAGAAGAAGTGCAGAGAAGGAATAGGTGAAAGCCCAATAAGTACGTATTTTTCTTATTCTTAATTATCTAACAGATAACTGTTCAAAGTAATAGCAACAATGTATTATGTATACTTAAATATATACTTATGTATAAGCAAAATAAGTGACAACAATATTACAAGGGATGGGAGGGAGGAATTAGGGTTATATTGTTATTATAAGGAACTCATAGTACCTGTGAAACAGCATAGTGTTGTTTGAAAGTGCACTTGGGGTTGGGCACAGTGGCTCGTGCCTGTAATCCCAGCACTTTGGGAGGCTGAGGTCAGGAGTTCGAGACCAGCCTGATCAACATGGAGAAACCCCTGTCTCTACTAAAAATACAAAACTAGCTGGGTGTGGTGGCACATGCCTGTAATCCCAGCTAGTCAGAAGGCTGAGGCAGGAGAATCGCTTGAAGCCGGGAGGTAGAGGTTGCAGTGAGCTGAGATTGTATCATTACACACCAGCCTGGGCAAAAAGAGCAAAACTCTGTCTCAAAAAAAAAAAAAAAAAAAAAAGGCTGGGCGCGGTGGCTCAAGCCTGTAATCCCAGCACTTTGGGAGGCCGAGGCGGGTGGATCACGAGGTCGAGAGATCGAGACCATGCTGGTCAACGTGGTGAAACCCCGTCTCTACTAAAAATACAAAAAATTAGCTGGGCATGGTGGCGCATGCCTGTGATCCCAGCTACTCGGGAGGCTGAGGCAGGAGAATTGCCTGAACCCAGGAGGCGGACGTTGCGGTGAGCCGAGATCGCGCCATTGCACTCCAGCCTGGGTAACAAGAGCGAAACTCCGTCTCAAAAAAGAAAAAAAGATAGAAAGTGCACTTGGATTGCTGTAGATGAGTTGTACATGCAAACTCTAGGGCAGCCACTAAAAAAGTTAAAAAAATTTAAAAAGACCAACTGATACACTAAGAAAGGAGAGAAAATGTGTGCAGTGGCTCATGCCTATAATCCCAGCACTTTGGAAGGCCAAGGCAGAAGGATCACTCTAGGCCAGGAGTTCCAGACTAGCCTGAGCAATGAGGTGAGATTGCTCCCCGCCCTGTCTCTACAAAAAAATAAAAAATTATCTGGGCGTGGTGGCACATACCTTATAGTCCTGCTTGGGAGGCTGAGGTAGGAGGATCCCAGGGTGAAGCCAGGAGGTTGAGGCTGCAGTGAGCTATGACAGTGTCACTGCACTCTTGCCTGGGCAACAGAGCAAGACCTTGTCTCAAAACACACACACACACAGCCCCACAAAAGGCAGCAGAAGAGTGGAAGACAAACATAGGAACAAAGAATAAGAACAACAAATAGAAAACAGTAGAAATATGGTGCTGTTAATCCAGCTGTCAGTCACCACATTGAATGTCAGTGGTCTAAATGCATCAGTCAAAAGAGATTGTCATAGTGGGTCAAAAAACAAGACCTAGCTATACGTTGTGTACAAGAAACCCACTTCACACATAAATTGTGTTTCTGTGAGGTCACTTTGGGCTGACCAGCAAAAGGCACAGTCCTGAGACATCAAGAATAACCCAGAATCATTATCTTTAATAATATAAGCATAATTGCCAGGCGCGGTGGCTCACGCCTGTAATCCTAGCACTTTGGGAGACCAAGGCAGGTGGATCATGAGGTCAAGAGATTGAGACCATCCTGGTCAACATGGTGAAACCCCGTCTCTACTAAAAAATACAAAAATTAGCTGGGCATGGTGGTGCGTGCCTGTAATCCCAGCTACTCAGGAGGCTGAGGCAGGAGAATTGCCTGAACTCAGGAGGTGGAGGTTGCAGTGAGCCGGGATCGCACCATTGCACTCCAGCCTGGGTAACAAGAGCGAAACTCTGTCTCAAAAAAAAAAAATATATATATATGTGTGTGTGTGTGTATGTATATATATATATAAGCATAATTATAATCTTGCAAGTATTTTCATGGGATTGAGATATAAAGAATACAGTGAGTTTTCACAGAACACAAAGGAAAAGCTGGTGCATCTTCCTCTCAGTTCATGCTAATCTACATAATCAGGGCTTGTTTTGCTTCTCTTTTCATTTTCCTATTCAGGTTCAGGAAAGATAGTGGTTGTTTGTGCAGCGGTCATTTACTTTTATCAACTTAATTTTATTTCTGGTGTTTTTTTTTCACTCTGCCTCTTCTCTCCTCCTCCTCCCATTCCCTCTCCTTTTCCCCACGCTTCTCCTCATCCTTCTTCCCTCTTCAACCCCACGCTCTCATATGCTAACTAAGAAACCACTTGGTTCTTTATAGCTATTGAGCATAGCTCATCCTAGAAGTTTGTTTAATGCTCATTTTACTCTGTGTCACAGAAAAGACCATTGCCAAAGAGCAGAGCCACTTTTGTTGAAGGCTGTGCCACTCACCTAGAGTCCCCTGAGCAAAGGAAGGGAGGCACACACAGAGCCAAGGGAGGGCAAGGGGCACCGCATGCCCACTGTGGAGCCGGCATCTACCTTTAGAGGTGCACCCCTTCCCTCAGACCCACTGAGCTCCTTCTGCAAGGAAGCTTTTCAGACAAGAAGGATGGCTTTATGATGTTCAGACTCTCCCTGAGAGAACCAGCTTTGCTGTTGTTGTGTTTGAAGTTGAATTCTTTTTCCTCTCTGGTCTGAACCCCTCCCAGCTTTGTCTAATGTGATGTCCTGTCCAGAGAAGACCTGTTGTCCTAGTTTGCGTTCCTGCAGAAGCCCACCCTGAAACAGTGACTCAAAGGCAAGTAGATTACTTGTGACCTGAAGGAGCTGCTGATCAGAGAGTGGGAAAGTGAGACAAGGAAGGGAAGGCAGCCAGTCAAGAGTGGGTTATCACACTGGTTATGGCTGTGGGCCATTGGAGCCCAACCTGCTGGGAACTCAGCCAGGGTAGAACACGTGTCCTTATACAATGGCTCCCGTCTGTCCCTGGTTGAGGGCTGTTGCAGGGAGCCCTCGTCCCTGGTACCTCCTTCCTACCAGGGTGGGCAAGAGGGTTTTGCCAAGAAATACAGGAGCCGGTGGTTAGAAGGTGGGGTCTTGTGCCTAAGGGTGAAGGTGGGAAATGTGGGTGGGCATGGCTGCGTGCTCTGCCTATAATACCTGCCTGCTGAGCTGGAGCTGATTTCACACTGTGTGGTTCCCTGTAGGCTTTCCTGGATCTGGTGGTGAGTAGAATGTCTAGCATTTTGTCTGGTTTTGCAAGTGAAAAAAGTGAGGTGGGGGGAAGGGCAGTCAGGTTCAGGATGAACTGAGCAGAGCAGAACAGAGCCCAGTGTCTCGATCACTTGTGCCTATTTTAGCCAGAGCATACACCAAATAGTCAGTGAATGAATCTTTGATGACATGATCATTGAGACCG